CGGTCCACTCCGAACCTTTACGCATTCCCCTGCCCGAGTGTCGTACGAATCTTTCCCCGTATTCTTAGAATTCGTACGTGCCATCGTTGCGCGGGGGTCGTGTTAATATTCTCTGTATCATTCCAATTTTAACAAATGTCCCGAAGGACTCCCAGTTCTTCCGCCTACCCTTGCCCCAGTTCTTCGCCCAGGTTCGTCCCCGGCCCCCACCATCTCCGCCACGCCTTCCCCTTTTTGTACTCCACAGATCTTTCCTATAAAGATTCGATTCTCTCGGGGTACCGGAGAGCTTTGCCGCGTCAGCACTTCCGGGCCTTCACGCGTCCTCCCTCCACCCCTCTTTATGGCTTTCCTCGCTTGGACCTAGCCCCTTTTGGAGGCCGGAGTCATACAACCGCGCCCACCTCACGTCACTACTTGGCCATAGGCCCCGGGGGCAACCCCACGAACCCAGACAATCCTCCTTTTACCCGCACCCGGCCCGTTTTACGGCCTGGTTCATTCCCTGTTTATGGGTGTTACCCTTCCCCTCCCCCTTATGCAGCTACCTTACGGATCCATCGATCCGATTTTTAGCCGACGCACCGAAGGGCTTCCGTCATGGTAACCACCGCGTAGCACCTCCAAAGGCCACAGACCCTCTCCCTTTTCTCCTTTGCACGCCCTTATCTTGTATTACGTCCGGGTTCATCCCCGGACTTTCGCGGCGTTCCTTGCATTGTCATTGCGCAAAACTTCCCCGAGGGATCTCCGCTGGCAACAACCCCCGACATCCCGGCACTTGCCCATCTCGTTGGCATCACGCGCGAATCCGGCCGCCCTTCCTCGTTCGCGCGTGTACCCGGTCAGGTTCCCGTCCGGGACCATCTCCGGACTCTTCGTGCCATCTCGGCTGTACCTAAGGGCCTGCCCCCGATTACCACCCACCCCCATGCGCGGGGGTCAAAGCGGCAGTACGGACCAAGACAAAAATTCTGCCAACGGAGGGAATACTACCCAAATTTTCCGCCGTGCACGGACCCCCCCCCCCGATGCTCCCTTGATCCTGCAATGCGGGCCGGCAGTCGGCTCCCTCCGCGAAAAGGGGGATAGTCTCATGGGACCCTCGACCCCTTTTGCTCCTTGCCGCTCCGTCGCTCCCGTACCACCGTCCGCCGGTCTCGAACCTCGTACCTCTGCTGAAACAATCCAACGTCGTAACCGATAGGGCTAAGCCCAAGCCTGTGACTGGTAGGCGCGGCTCCCCATATAAAGTGGTGCCGCGCGGCGTTCCGACCAAGAGACCGCCCTGGTTACTTTTTCGGCCCACAATTGCACCCACGGACCCTAGGTGTCCGCGTCGGTCTACCACCCCGTGCCATGGCCGTCCCATGCGCCTACCGGCGCGCCAGCCTTACCCTCGGTCACGCATGCCTATCAAAAACAAACTTTCATTCCCTAACCAGGGCCGTAACACGGTCTGGGTCGGTCGGCTACCCCGGCCGCCTACTCAATTAGGAAAAATCACACGCGCAACTTAAATATTGCGCGCCCGCCTACTCCCTACCGGGACAAGACAGACCCTTGCCTACGTGCGGGCGACCTTCGCATTTTCCCGCCCGGGCACTCAAGATCCAGGTTAACCAAGCCTTTCTGTCACTTGCAAAAATCAGGGCAGATACCCTTGTAAGGGTATTCACGCCGACAGCTTACCGGACCATATTAAGCGACGTCCCCGTCACGTCGCCAGATCAAAAAGCTATAGATTTCCTTCACATTCCAAATGCTGACGAGATCATAACCAATCCGATTAGCCGACAGACTCAGGGTCGAGGCCTCCATCAATTCGTGCCACACAACTATATGCTGCCAGGGTTTCAACCTGGGTCTCCATTGTCCTGATATCAGGACGCCGGTGTATTACGCGTCAATACTACAGCATAAGTTCCAAAGGCCCCCAAACCATCCTCTTCCCCTTTGTCCTAGATAACCGCCGACCTCTCGTTGGGTGTCCCAGTTAGCCTCTTCCTCATAAGCAGAGCCATAACTAGGGACGCGGGCTTCGAATGGGGCCTATGAAGGCACTCTCTGCCTTCTTCAACAAGTTCCTCACAGTCAAACAAAACACACATGTATAAGCTTACAGCCTCTCTTGGGCTTTTCTGCAGCCTAGTACAGAAATGCCAAGTCCCCATCTGGGCCCACCGTAGCCTGGTTGATCGGGCCAGGTCTACGGCCCACCACATTGTTACCTTAGCGGCAGTATCCTCCCATTGGTTATACAATAGCAGGTATATCCCTGATAACCAATCAATTAGGGCGCCCAAAAGACTCGACTCTTATCCCGCAAGGTAATTTCCTTGGGCCGGGCAACTCCCCTTAAACTCTTGCCTTGTGGGCCCGCAGCCAGGTTGTGCCGGCTAGCAGCCATCCACTAGGGGTTGCGCCCAGGTGGCACTAAGCTTTACCGTTAGCTTGGTATTCCTTTAAACATGTCTCAGAATTAGCACAGGTGGCCAGGCGGGGCGTTACAAACGATTCACGGCCGCTGCGGGACTACGTAGGGGTCCAAAGGCATTTACCGGCCCTTCAGTAATAGGCACGGCATCCTTTACTTAGTCACAAACAATCTCCCCGTCGGGTCCACGAGGCCGCGCCTCCTGACTTGATCAGAGCCAGCAGTTGCCCACCCTGAGGCATCTCTCGCCCTCCTCACACATTTCAAGCAAGCATGGTCCCCTCTCGTCAGACTTTATCGGTACAGACAATGCTTTCCACATCATTCCTTTTTTGCCCACCCTTACTGGGTGAAGGGTGCCTTCCATAAAAGACTTCCTGGCCACCCCTTTTGTATGGGATGGCTCCTCACACGACCTCTTCCAAAACCATGAAAGGGTCTCCACGCAATATAACTCCCACCTCCCAGAATTATGAAGGGGGCCTTAATCATCAAACAACTCAAACTGAGGGACCACCTTCTGGGTCCCTGTACAACTTATGCAACGGTGTTTTAGTACGACCAAGCATGCAAATTCTTAAATCCATCAATCATGTAGGATCCTCACAGTTTTTCACAAACGGGCTGCACCTCCCCTCCTTATACCCTGCCCTCTCGTCCGCTTGTAGCAGACCGCACGAGTATACCGGAGGGTAGACAGCTCTACAATTTACACAATCATGTCCATGAGATGCATCCTGTACATCTCCCACACAAAGCCAAACATTCATCGAGATAAATCTACACATGTGAGAGCGATAGTGATCGTCACAAAACAAGTCCCATAGGATCTCAACTCATAGTACACTCAGGGAGTAGAATGYCTCCCCCAACAATCRAATACAAGCACCCAACTCCATACTCCGCCCGTCTGAATGGGACTCRTMACCCCACTRTATACTCATCAAGTACACTCGGGAGCATAGCACCTGCCTAATCATCCATAGAATATTCTAGCCCCTGTCCTCCCCTGCTGGGAGAACTCACACCCTGAGTGCTACGAACTCCCAAATCCCATTCAGAGCAGCAAGCTTCTGAATCCCAAAACCAAATGTAACTAAGTAGTCTCATACATCACACGGCCGAGCCCTACCCCAGGGTCGTAGCCCACGAAGACTCTCAAGAGGAGGCGAATGAGCAAAAGTCGAACGCATATGTACAAACGGATAGGAGCTCATCCCACCACCCCTACGCACACACACACACCTAGGGCCCGCTCAACTAACTCAAGGTATGTACACCCCTAACCCTGCCCTGTGTGTGTCAAAGATCTCTAGTCCTATCAATACATAGACAGACCGATCCCTACTTACACAATTCCTCATGGTTCTGTCTGTATAACTGGGCCCTGCCCCCATCTGGAGATCGCTCCACTATCCTGCCCTGTCTGTCATAGAATTTGCCGTCGACCTCCGTGACTCGCCCTTCGGCCTTATCCTCAAGGAGCTCTGGACAGTTCACGGCTCTATGTCCCCCCTCCTTGCACCAAAAACAGGAGGTATCATGCCACCTAGCAGTCTTCTTCTTTCCCCCCTGCGAACTAAATGTCGAAGGCGTCCCCATGGTCTCAGTAGCCACCTCATGACACGAGGGCAACCCCACATGGCCCTGCGGTCCTGGCCCCATAGCCTCAGCACCCTCACCCCCTCGTGCAGCCGCACTCCCTGGCCTGCGCTCTGGTGTGTCCAACTCCCGGGGCCCCTCCTCATGAGCGCTCTCTGTCATCGCCGCCTCATCCCTGCATACTCCTGTCGGCTGAGAGCCCCTCATAGCGGCGGGCTCACTCATGACCACCTGCCGCTGTTGCCGTCGCGAGTCAGGCCCTCCTGAGTCTGTCCCCATGGCCCATGAGCCCAGCTCCGCCCTCAACTCTCCCAACCTCGGGGCATGCTCTGGAGCGTCAAGTCCCTGAGACCCCTCTTGTGGAGTGCCTATCCCCATGGCTGCCGCCAACTCATGCAAGCGCGAACCCCTCCTCTCCGTGGACATAGCCATAAGCAACTCCTGCGCGCCACTCTCCTTCTCGACTGCGTCCAAGGGCGCCTCCTCAATCGGCTCGGCCAGACGAGGGACTTCCACTGCTACTCCCTAACTTGACGACGCCTGCATCCCACGGCCCTGGATGTCAGCACCGGCTGGCCCTGTCCTGCTAGCCTCCCAGGCTGCTGAGAGCCTATCCATAGCGGCCGCCATCTCCCCAAATCTCCTCTCCCACTCAACCTCTCTGGCCTGGCTCCACACCCTCTCCTCGGCAAGCTGAGCAGTCAGGTGCTCTACCTCCAACTCCTTAACCCAGAGCTCATTGCTGAGTAAATTATACCATTGGAAAGATGTGACTGCCGTCTCGCATACCCTCCGATCCATGAGCTCAATCGCCATCCTGGTCGCAGAGAATCCCACGTCTCCCATCTCCCTCAACTCACTCGTCCCCTCGCCTGTCGGTCCTGCCTCTCATGGCCTCTGGCGGGCCGCATCCCTCTGACTCTCATACCTAGCCCACAATGTTCGACTGGCGGTGTCGGCTCTATCCCTGCCGCCTCCATCTCAGCTTGCTTCGCATGTATCTCGTCCAGACGGACTCGCACCCGGGTGGACTTCTCCTCGCGGGTCTCCCTTGGGGTCCCTCTCACTCGCGGCCCCTGGCCCTCTGGAGCCATCGCCTCGCCCCTCATCCCTTCGCTCGCGCATGGCACTACTGGCGGTAACTCCGCTGGAACAGGCTCCTCGATGACCGGACTCCTAGTCACGTGCGTGGACGATGGGAGGTTAGGGGGCGCCTCCATCCCCGCTCCCTCACACACTCCCTGATCCTCCGCCTCTGCCTCCTGCTCAGGCATGAGGGTGGCCGCAGGCGGGGACTCCGGAATCTCCTCGTTGCCCGGCTCGGGAATCCCCTCTGGCCATGAACGTTGTGCTGGCCCTGGAACTAGGGAACATGGAGGGGTATCGTCTCCGACCGTGATCACCTCTCCAACCTGGGGTCGTACCGGATCCGGCCGCTCGGCTGCCATCTCAGGATCCTGTGGCTCCTCTCGGCCTCGCGTGTCTGTCTCCATCTCGGGGTCGAGGGGCTCCTCCAATGGCACGTAGCACGCCGGCTCAACTGAGCCCTCTCCCAGTCGTGAGGCCTCCCATTGGGATACATCAAGATGAGTCGCTAAACTTCGGAATGGCGTCTCTCTTGGTATGTCCAGCTCCTGCGTTGATGGCAGTGGCGAGGGCGGCCTCAACTCCTCACTCGTAATCCGCCGAAACTCAACCGCCCGGAGGCCACAGGCAGGGAACGACTCTTCTGCTAGTGCGGGCCCTGCGGGCTCATCCTCCCGCTGGGTTGGGGCTCCCCTCCTCTCCCTGTCCAGCCCCGCCTCTCTCGGTGCCGGTTCCCTTGGCCTCTTGCTTCGCCGTCGTCTCTCAACCCTGGGCTCGTGCCTCTCGTGCTGTGGCCGTCCGAACGCCCTCCTAAGTTGGGCCTGACAGTCCTCCTAGTCTCGAGCCCTCTCCTGAATCTGCTTGGCCACCTGCTTCTTTGCCCGCCTTGTCCAGATAAGTAGGGTCTGCGCCCATTCCTCCTGCGCAACCCCCAGACTCAACATGTAGTGCTCATATGCGGGGATGAACTCATCTGCGTTCCCCTCCTCCAATCGAATGGGCATGCCGTCACGCCCCCTAGGGGAAGCTCTCAACCTCTGCATCCCGGCCTCCACGTCTGGCCAAGTCAGGACCTCCTCACATATCTGAGCGACGGGCTCCTCGAACCGCCCTATACCCCTCAAGTGGTGAATCCTCTCCACCACTGACTACCCTCTCTGTGCCGCATGGTCCCGATATACGTCCAGGAAAAGCTCAATGTTGTCGTCATCGAACTCAAGCATAGGCTCCCTCCTAGGCGGCTCATGCTGCTCGCCCCTTCCCTCCATCCTCTGGGGCCCCTGGCGTGGCCGTGTGTCCCTCCCGCCCCTCTGCATGGCTGCCTTCGAAAAGTCAGACCTGCACAACAGGCGAGAGACAACAGACAGGCACACAGCAGGGTCAGCGACTGGGCCATTAGCCTAGGGGAATCCCACATACTCTTCACACCCATCCACCCCAATCATCCACCTATCCAAGCACCTGACCTGGGTAACGTCTAGGAGAGACTCTATTCCTAATGAGGTCTCATGGCCCCTCACCTATTCCCTGGCCACGAACTTCTTCAGCCTTGTCCCTGATACCCAGTCCTGCCATCCTGCCCCGTCCAGCTCCTCAATTTGGTAGGCCCCAAACTCGCCACACCGCACGATCCTATAGGGTCCCAGCCACCGCTTGTCAAGTTTCCTAGACCACTGCTTCTCCAGCGAGGAATCGTACAGCAGCACCACGTCTCCAACCTTCAGCGGCTCCTTCCTTATTTGGGCCATCTGGTCCCACCTCATCTTATCTTCCATGCGACTTCTCTCCACCTAACCAGCGGCCTCCCGTAGCCTTTCTTCAGCGGCCCCCACTTGTCGCGCCCGTATGTTGAGCAGTTCTTCAAAGGATAGGTTCACTTCCAGGTCCTGGCGCCTCCACGTCTTCATAAAACTTTCTATGGGGAAGGTGGCATGCCTTCCATACCATAGAGTGGTTGGCGCATACTTGGTAGTCCTTTTCACTGTAACATTTTCCACGAAGAAAGCTGCTCTCAGGAACTTCGGCCATTGGTTAGGCTTTCCCTCCGTCTATTTAGCCAGGAGATTCATGATGGTGTTGTGCCCCCTCTCCACAGGTGCGTTCGCCTGGGGGTGCGCGACAGTAGTATAGTTTGCTACCACACCGTACCCCGCGAGCAAGGTTCGCACCTCGTTACAAGTGAACTCCGACCCCCAGTCCATCACAAATTCTCTGATGAACGGATAGCGCAGGTAGTACTCTTCGATGCACCTTGCTAAAACAGGGTCAGTCTTTGTGCGAATAGCTCGACCGTCCACAAACCTAGTAAGGTTGTCCCGTGCATCGAAGATATAATTATTCCATCCTCCCCGAGTGACATGAACAAGAGGTCCAGGTGTACGACGGCACCCACTTCCCTTTCTAGCCTGGGGTGTAAAGGCTCCCCAGGCCTTTGCGCTGACCTCTGCTGACAAGGCACACAAGACTGGCAGTACTTGATGACCATAGTCAGCATTCCATCCCAATGGTATAACTCGCTTATCTTCGCACACGTGGCACTAACCCCTCTATGCCCCCCTGCTATACCATCGTGTAGGGCTGCTATGACATCGATCTGCCAGTTCCTCCCACATACGATCCTCTTGGGGTTCCCAACCTGTCGCTTTATTAACAAATGGCCATCTCTCACCACGTAGAAATGCCTCATCTTCTGGGTCTTAGCACTGGCGTCCTTATCCCTCATTTCGCATGACAGGAGTAACCCCAATTCTCGATAAATTCCGTCATACTCCTCAGCACGGAAGGCCTCCCTAATCTCTCCCTCTTCGAACTCGTCCTCCTGACTCTCAGGAACGAGAAGTTCGCCCTCCTTTGAGTTGGTTGCGCCCCTCTGGTCAAAGTTCCCCTGCAGGAGCGTGTTGGTGAGCAAGTACATTCCTCCCATTCGTTGCTCATGCTCCTTTACCTGGGTCGGGCCTTCCTCTATCGTCCTTACCTCCTCTGCTAGACTATGTGTCCCTGCCAATGCCAATCTCATCATCCAACCAACATCCCTATTTCCCCATGGATCTTCTTCCTGGAAGGGCTTGAGGACCAACTCCTCCTTCTGCTCGTACCCCCTTGGTGCTAGCCATATAGGATGCGTGACGCAGCTAGGCACCCTCAGCGACCACTCATTTATGCGGAGGCGGACGTCCTCCTCCTGGTCCAAGAACCCATCAACTTGCGGGGCATCCTCGATTGACCCTTGATTCGCCCCGTCCCAGTTGATACGACTCAACCCATCTGCCCTATTATTGTCCCCAGGAATCCTCTCCAGCTCCAAGTTAAACATCCAAATGTAAGTCAACCACCTCGCAATGGTTGGGTCAGATGGAGTGTAACTTTTCAGGGAACACGCCAGCGCGGTAGGGTCCACCCTCAAAATGAGCTTTCTGCCAAAGATGTAATTCCGGAAGGTTCTTAGGCAATGGAGCACCGCCAACGTCTCCTTCTTGAATTGGGAGTAATTCCTCTCAGTCGTATTGAGGGTGCGACTTTCAAATCTTAACGGCCTCTCCTTCCCATCAGCATCCGCCTGGATTAGGACCCCTCCTAAGGCAGTTGGCCCGGCGTCCGTCTCAACAACAAATGGCTTCTCCTCCGTGGCCTCGTAATTCGGCGCTCCCAACACCAAGCCTCCTTCCTTGAATTCTCTCTTCATCCTTTCCACAGCCTTTTTCTGGTCTTCGCCCTAGACCCACTCCTGATCCTGACGTACCAACTTTCTCAAATGCTCCGTCTTGGTGGCGAAGTCCTTCACAAAACTCCTCCAAAACCCGCAGGTCCCGAGGAAGCTTCTTACGTCCGTTATCGATTGGAAGGGGACAGGCCACTCTAGGATCTTGTCCGTCTTCTTCCCATCTGGCCCCTGCCCCTTTTCGTTGCAAACAAAGCCCAGAATCGTGGCCTCCCTCATGCAATGCTTCGACTTGGGGCCGCTCGCCGTCAGGTTGTGCTCCTCCAGCAGACCTAGAACTTGATCGATATCCTGGACGTGCTTCCAGACAAACCGCCTCACTCCCGGCATCACTTCGTCCTCCTCCTTCTCTTTTGGACCCTTGACCGCCAAGTCGTCAATGTAGGGCTGAGTGATATGTGGGCTAACTGTCTGCATGGCCCTAATCATGTGTCTTTGCACCATTGCCACCGCATTAGTCCACCCCTGAGGTGCCACATTCATGTGGATCAGCCCCCTTGGCGTATGCATCGCCATCACTGGCCTATTCGGTGGGTATACAGGAAATTGGTCATACCCAGAATAAAGGTCTATAAGTGAGATTATAGGCCTTCCTGCGCATGATTCCGACAGGGCATCTGCGTTTGGCAACCCTCCCGCGTCCCGCACCGTCACTGCATTCAACCGTTGCAGATCCTGCACCCACCGCAGCGTTCCGTTAGGCTTGATAAAACAAAACCAGGGGGAAGCATACGGCCCACTGGAGTAATCCGCCACATACGTCCTCATCTTCCCATCCAGGTAATCCACCACCTTCTTCTCCTCATCCGGATTCGGGTACCGTGCGCCCCTCAGGTTCCACGACTCGTGTGGGACGGTATGGATTCGTATCATTGGGATCTGATCCACGTCCAACCTCCCACGCTCGTCGTCATTAAACGCATACGCGCCAGAAACCATCAAGGTCCTTTCCTGGGGCGAAAGGAAGCCAGGCTCGCCGATTATCAGCCCTTCCTCATTCTCATTATTAATGCGGCACGGTCCTGCCTGCGTGCGCTCCCGCATACGCCTTATTAGCCCTCGCTCCCGCTCATAATAGGCTTCCTCGTCCTCCGTGACAAGCACGGGGACCGGGCGGCACTTCTTGTCTATAGTCTTGTACCGCCTTTGGGAACCCTGCTTAAGCCCTCCCCTAAAAAAGGCCGACTTGTCGTTCGGGCCTGGGCCATCGCAGGGTCTCCTTTCCTCCCGCGAAGCCGATAGATCAGTTCCTCTTCTCCCACCTGAGGGTTTTCCAGGACCTGCTCCCTCAATGCCTTGATAGCCTCAGGGTCCGCCATATCATGCGCCGCCACCACCTCCATTGCCTTATTCACATCGTTAAGGCTCAGGAATAATACCTCGCCTACTCCTTCCTCCTCTTGCTCCTCCCGGAGTCTCCGTCGTGCGTATTCAGACTCCTCGAAGGTGAAGGAGCCGAGGTTGAGCCTGTTCCTCCCGCTTCCGGGTCCTGTGTTCCGGCACTTAATGATTTCATAGTTTCCACAGGCCGGATCGGACAAAGCCAGAATCATCGTCCCTTCATGCCTGTTGAAGACCAAGGTCTCCGTTCGGCAGAGGAACGACCTCCCCAGAAGAATAGGGTGGTCGACGTCGGGCATGACGAAGAAGCACGTCTGCGCCCTTACTCTCCCAATCTCTACCATTACATTAGATGGGGTGCCGCAAAAGATGGCCTTGCAGTTGGCGCCATGCAACACGCCATGGTCCGAATGGTCGACCTCCAGCCCGAGCATAGTCGCATCCCGCTCCCGAATGATGTTCATTTCCGCGCCCGTGTCCACCATTGCAATGCTCGGCTGGTCCCTCACCTTGAGGTCCACCAACCCACACGCCACACATTTCCAATCCATCCTGGTGCCCGCCTCCGTCCACTCTATCTCCCTAGGCAGGATTGAGCTCAGGTGGACATTGGGCACTAACCTCCGTGAGAGCCGCCCTTTTAGCTCGCCCCGGAGCCTCGGTGCTGACGCCAGAATGTCCTTTTAAGTTCATCAGATCGTTATGGCCCTCCAGGAGCTTATCCACCATTCGCTCCACGTCAAAGCCTTCCTCCAGCCGGACTGCATACTTCTTCCTTTTTGGCACGCCGTCATGCAGACTCGACTCCATCCCTCCTTGAGCCCCTCTCTTCTTGGCCCTCTGTTCCGCCCTCCGGTCCTCCTCCTGCCAGAGCCTCTCGTCCTCTTCGTCATCACCCTCATCTTCCTCTTCTCGAACCTCTACCACTTCCTTTTTTCGTTCGGGCTCAGGGTCCTTTCGAGGGGGCGCCCAACTGGGTGCCTGGCTAGGCCCTTGACTGGTGGTAGTCTTACTTTGGCCCCTAGTCTGCGCGGCCTGTGGTGCCCTTCCATGCGACGTAGGGGGTATGAAGGTCATCCCTGACCTAGGACCTGCCCCGGTCGTCGCCACACTTGGACACCCTTGCGGCCCTGATGGCGATTCCGGACCGGATCCATAGAGCATCATCTCAGGAAGGTTCATTTCCCACTCCCGGGCCTCCCCGCACATCACCCTTAATCGTTCTTGGTATATGCCCACCTTTGCAAGCAGATCCTCCATCCTCTTCAGGATGGTCGAGGCCGACTCTCTCGCCGCCTCCTGCGCCTCTTTGTTGGACTCAACAACTATGGGCTCCTCCTTTATGGTCCCCGCCTTCAGCTGCTGAGTCACTTCCTCGCTCTCACCCACAATCTCCTCGACTCTTACGCCGGAGTCTTGCCTATCCTGCCATATCCTGAACATTGTCGGGGCTGCTGGATGCCTTGCCGCTGCCTGCCTGAGGGCTTCTTGCCTAATTCCTCCCGGGGTCTTAGGATCAATATGCTTTCCCCACTGGTCATATATATCCCCATCCATACAGGTGGAGATTAATCCTGCCAGCTCATCGTCCCGCCGCTGTTGGCAAAATCGCACGGTGTGGCCCACCTCGCCGCAATGCCAACAAGTCACGTTCCGCCAGTCAAAGCGAGGCCTCCCATACCCCTGGCCTCCTCCCTGGCTGCCTTGGCCACCTTGGTTCTGACCCCCTTGACCATTCCAGCCTCCTCCACGGCCTCCACCATTTCCTCCTCGCCCCCAGTCGCCCCCTCCTCTACCCCCTTGACCCCGGCCCCCATTGCCCTGCCCGCCTTGTCCTTGGCCCCCTCCCCCGGCCACACTAGCTTGCGAGGCCTGCTGGGAGGGCGGCGGTTGGGCCAGGGGCTGGCTTTGGGTCGCCGGGTAGCTCGAGGGGCCCATACTTGTTGATGGGCCTGAGCAAGGGACCATGTGTTCCGCGTGGGCCTGACTCCCTCCACACGAGACATAGTGGTTGCAACTGGGCCAGGGTGCGGACTGACAGTGCGGCACCCAGTGCCCGCAAGTTGGTGGCGGCCCCATGTGCGATGGCCCTGCTGGCGCCGGCACGGCCGCGGCGACAGGCGGTGGTGCGGCAATGGCTTGGGGAGCCTGTCCCTTCCCTGACCCCTGCCCTCCCTGCAGCAAGTTGCGTTGCTTCCTCTGGGCCTTAGTCAGGACCTGGGAGCCTGTCTCCCCTCCGCCATAGTCTTCTTGCCCAGCCTCCTCATGTACTGCCCCTGACGCCCGGCCTTGGGCCACTAGCACCCCTCTCTTCTGTATCTCTGCTTCACTATCATAGCCCAGTGCTGCCAACACGTCCGTGACTATTTTTTTCACCCCTTGGGTCCCGGATGCGGTAGCATCCCTCTCCTTCCTCTTGCGCCTTTGCAATCTCATTTGTTGCTGCTCCACCTGGTCCAGACTCCCTTCTTCCACCACCTTGTCAATGGTTGCCCAGGAGAGCCTCTCGCTCCCTTCCCCATACTTGGTCAGCTCTGTGGCCTCCGAGCCCGTAAGCAGTCCCAGAAATGTGGCGCACTGCGCCTCCTCAGAAATCCCGTGCACTTTCCTCGCCTTTTTCTTAAATTCGTGCACAAATGCCCCAATGGTGGAGAAATCTTCCTTATTCATGGCCTCCAAGTCGGCCATGGTCAACAGGCCGTCCCCCAGCCTGGACTTCCTTCGCATAAGGTCCCCAAACTTTGCCCAACTGCCACCGGCGGCATCCACAACCTTAGTCACTTCCCGATGGTGGGTATGCAGGACATACCTCAGGACCCGTTGGAGCTTGACCTCATCTGATAGCCCCACTAGTGCCTGCTCTGTCAGATCCAGCCAATCAGATACCCGTTCCCCTTTGAAGTGGAATGTCTCGACCTTTGGGATGTTGCTCGGCGCCCTCTCGCGCTTGTCCAGAGCATCGATGAGGTCATCAAGAGTCACAAGCTTCCTCCCACCGTCCGCCATCTCTTCTGGCATTTTGGCCACCCGCCTTCGACTTCAATCTTCCTGTTATAAGAGAYGATGGGACAGAGGACCTCACTCARCGACTCAAYCTTTCATGACCCTATCRAGTTGACCACCTTAGACACCCCACACTCTAGAYCTGACAGACATTCCTTCTCCCATYYCCCTTAGGCCYATCTAGATGACGCATATCCTTACCATAGAACTTCCTCRCYCACATACAGCACCCTGCTGTCAACCAAACCGCCAATCAATCAATCATCCAACCCATAGTCACCTAGATCACCTTACATACATCTCATAGTCCTTCTCTTATTCACTCATATGCCTAGTTTCTCGCTTACTCCCATACACGGATCTCGTTCCACCAGGGACAACGATAGGCTTCCGTCATCCCCGGCAATGGCGCCACCTGTCATGCGCATCGGCCCGGGATCGCACGCGGCGGCGCGGGACCCTCTCGACCGCGTCACGCAGGAGTTGGATCAATCTCGACATAACGCGCGAGTGGAGCTTCCTTAGGCCGCTCCGGCTGAGTGCGCCAGCCATACCTCTCGCGAGCCCCTACGACAGGATAGGGCCTACGCGAGGCACAACTTACCTCCACCTTACGAGAGTTGTCACCTCCCATCAGTGGGCGTATCCCCGCCGAGCTACCAGTCCACAATACGAAAGCTGATCAGTTGCAATCGCAGAGGTGGACCAGCCGAGGGCGTTTCTCGTTCGCTGTAGCATAGGGGGTACGCGCGGTAATACTCCCTTCGGACCCGCACGCGGACCGCCATCTTGGGGGGCTGAAGCCCCAAGCGTGGCTCGTCGTCGGCCGACTAGGACGCATCCCACACGCCACGCGCACACCACTCTACGAACACGCGAAAGGAACACAAGCGCACGCACGCACGCACATACAGCACGCCGCAACACGGACAACGCTGGCACTACTCGAACAACGCGACCRCGCTCCTAGCCCCTCGGTGGCCGTCCCATAACTTCCCAATGCAAAAAATCGAGTGGGCGTCGCGCGCGATACTTTATATAAAAATCGCGCGGACGCAGGGCTAACTCATACGGACTCGCAATGCAAGCGGTCGCAAGGATGGTGTACCATGTAGTACCCATACTCACGCGGTCCTCGTTAACCTCGAGGGTCGCGCTCGACACTCAAGTGTCGGCTGACACACGTCTAGAGGGTTAATCTCTCGACGCTGAACAACCGCCATGCGGGGTTGAAGACCACACACCCTCTTCTGCACCCTTATGCAGAGTGGGTGGTACACAGGCCCATGCCTGTGGTGGTAGTCGTCTCTCGCGGCCCTAGGGGTGAGTCCTCCCCGGGACTTGGGCGAAAGTCAAGGGGTTTGACTTTGACGGCTGCCACGGACTACAACGTCCAACCATAAAAAAATCTTTAAGAAGCAACAAGACCCGCACGAATCCAAGAAAAGGGAATAGGGCGAGGGTCTCCCGACCCTTAAAACAAAAATTCATGGCTCTGGGACACACTTCCCTTCTACGGCCCGTGTCGGCGGCCTACAATAATCCCAAGCGCTGCGCCTACGCGCAAGCCCAGCAGTCCCATAACTTTTAGACGCCGGGGGCGGCAAGGCATCACGCGCAGGGCTCTGATATAAAATTGCGCGGCCGCAGGCCAACCCTATGCCAACCACTGATGCCAATCATATGTGGTAACCACGGCTTCGGCCTCGCGATATTGAATGGCTGAAGGAACTCATCGCGAGGGGTTACCCCTCACGATATTGAACGGCTGAAGGATACGCCGTTCGGCCCTTGTGACATTTCCGCCCTCCAAGCGGAGTGTCCCGCCGGCCAAAATAAATAGGCTCTATGCAAGGGGAGACGCCTCCCCTTTTGGGCCACGCCTGGGATGTCCTGGACAAGGACCTCGAATCCCGGCCCAGGACCAACGTCCAAAAGCCCCAAGACGCAAAAAATGTAAAAAGGGGGGGGGGGGTCTTCCGTGTCCCTCAGTCCCATCCCAACCTCCGCGCGGTTACTAGCACGACCCCCATACGCCCCTTGGATACCCATCGTACGGATACTCGCGCATACATGCATAAGGGGATAGAGTTATGACGATCACTCCTCACAGGCACAGTGGGACGCCTCACAACCTTGCATATGTATATGGAATCGCAGGTAGTCCAAATCCAAAATCCAAGTCACAGAACATACCTGCAACCACACCAAGAATCAAGTGACAAAGCACGCACTACACGGAGTCAACCCCAACCATTCTCTATGCTCATACCCCTTCGCTTTAGCCATGCAAGCCCCAATCGCCGATCCAACCAACCTTAATTAAATATTCAGTACCTTTGTCAAATGGCCATTCAATAAAAGTCCGGGTAAAACCCTTAACAAACAAAAAAACCACCAGGGCTAAAGCCTTTTAGGTTGAGTATGGGGAATGAGTTGAAATTGAGTCGAAGACCGACGAATCGGCAACTGACCTGTTATCAGTGATAACAGAAGACGATCCTCGTAGGATCAATCCGGAACTAGTCCAAATCCTGAATCTAATCGATCAAGATGACCTGTAACACAAGACAGGTCAATCCCCAGGCTGAACCTATAAGTCCATGGAGAATAACCCCCATATCACGATCCCACTCAAATCACCTTAAATAACTAAGCCTGAATNAGTCCATGGAGAATAACCCCCATATCACGATCCCACTCAAATCACCTTAAATAACTAAGCCTGAATCTACCTGTAAGTCGTGCCCAAAGAAAAGGTAGACCCCGGCATAATCTCCCCTATTCAGGCCCTATTCAGGGTGAATTGCCAAAAATCGCCATCAATCAAAATATAATCTAACTCCTCTAAATCAAGAAAATTTCGGCAGCGCTTCCCGTAGGAAAAGTGTCTTTCCAAAGTTTATGTTAGCTCAAATGTGGAAACAGAAATAACCTTGTCCAACTTCCTGAATTAGTAAAAATTTGGACGGCACTCCCTTTAGAAAGAGAGACTCCCCAAATTTGTACTAAGTCAGATATGAACTCAGAGACAATTTGAGTTCAGCTTAGACAAAATTTAGTTAATTCCTTAGTTTTGCAGTAATTTTGGCAGCACTCCCTTTGGAAAAGTGTTATTTCAAAATTTATACAAGGCTAAGTTTTAAATCTGGAAATAACTTTGACTTCTCAAAGTCAAATTTTGTCTAACTCCTTGAATTAGTAAAAATTTGGGCAGCATTCCCTCTAGAAAATGAGACTTTCCAAATTTTTACTAAGCCAGATATAAAGATGAGACAAGTAGAATTTTGACAAGTCAAAAGTTGACTAACTCCTTGGATTTGTAGAAATTTCGGCAGCGCTTCCCGTAGAGAAAGTGGATTGCCAAGATTTATACGAAACCAGGTATAACAAAAGATCCTAGAAAATGCAAGAATTCATCTAAGTAAAAAAAGTCAGCTCGAAAAAAGAAGGAATTGACCTAGTTCCTATCGCTCTAGCCCATGGCGAGCCTCTAAAGCAACTACCTGTCAACCTGAAGCCCAGACCAAATAGTAACCTTACTCAGCCACATGCTGGCCAAACCACAAAGGTAAGTACTCTCACCAACCCCAAGCTCCTTTAGCAAACAATAGTTCATGCTTCCTCTGTGAGTTATCCCTTTCATACCCAAGCTTACATAAGGCATAAGCCAAAGCACCTGAACTTACAGAGCGCACCCAACTTAGCCAGGCCCAAGGTCAGAATACCTAAACTTATAGAGCGTTCTGACTTGGCCAGGTATACACAAACAGAGGGCACAACTACTTCTCTCTTCTTTGGGCGTCTGACTAGACCACTCTAGTCGCCCTGAACTGTTTAAATAGCCAGATTATATATATATATATATCTGAACTTAGTCTTCAAAGGGACATAAGGTTGAGCCGCTCAACTTAGAACATTGCTCAGCCTGTTCACAATTACCCTTAATTATTGCTCAGCCTGTCCACAATTACCCTTAATTATATCTCTTAATTATACTATCTTCTGTCGTGATAAGCTATAGTCAGGCTAACTAAACTTATAGAGCGGCGTGACTAGCTTGTTCTCAATAACACAGTAACATAATATAGCCAAGTTATATCCATTGGGTTCCAACATGTGCGAGGCATTGGGTCAGACCACCTAAACTTATAGAGCGGTCTGATCCTCTGCCAGGTTCGTTTCTCTCTGATCAATCTGTGCGAGGCAGTGGGACAGGCTACCTAAACTTATAGAGCGGCCTGCCCCTGCCAAAATTATTCCCTCAAAACAAAACAGGAGAAGGGCCGAACCACCTAAACTTATAAAGCGGTTCAGACCTCCTCGTTCAGAATCAAAGAAACTGAGAGAACCCCAAACAAAACGAGGCAACCCAAGGTACCTAAACTTATAGAGCGCCACGGGTCCCTGAGAACCACTTACAGTCAAATCCCCACAGGTCAGAGCAGTCAGGACAACTAAACTTATAGAGCGTCCTGACCCTCCACGCAATTCATAGCACCAGGTCTCCCCAAACTTATGGGGAGATCCCAACCTCCAGAGCTTCAGGCTACCTAAACTTATAGAGCGGTTTGAGGCTCCATGCAAACCAGAAATAACAAAGCGTTGGGCTTCCCCAAACTTAAGGG